CCAGAGAGAAAACACATGTATGGTTTTCTTAGATGTTGCCAAATTCTCTTCTGTAAGAGCCGTACATGACACGTGAGAGTACCTGTTTCCCCACACCCGTAGCTACTTCTTAACTTTTGCCAATCCGAGAGATGAGAAATGGCATTTCATTTTGATTTTAATTTGCATTTCTCTTACCGTGAGTGGAGATTGATGTCTTTTCATATATTTAAGGGCCATTTTTATATGTTCTTATGAATTATCTGTTTATGTCATCTACTCACTTTTTAAATTGTTTTTCCCCTTAATTTTTAAGTGCTGTTTATATAGTAGGAATATGAGTTCTACAAAGTCAGATTTATTCACCTTTTATTCCATCTGGATTTTGGGTCATAGCTGGAAAGGCTTTTCCCTACATCCAGTTTATTGAGGATGTCACCCATGTTTCTACATTTGTATGTCTTTATTTTCTACATTTATATCCCTGTTCCATTTGGCACCTATTATCATATATGTAGGAAATATGAATCTAAAATTTTATCTTTTTTTCCAAATGATTATATAATCATTCCAGCACATTTATTAAAGAAAACATCTTTGGCCCAGTCATTTGAGATGACACCTTTACTGTCACATACTAAATTTTCATACGTATTCAGGTCTCTTTCTGAGCTTTCTTTTCTATTCCACTGGTGAGTCTGTCTGTTCATCTACTAGTATCACCTTGTTTTATTCTTGCATGTTTATTTTTTTAATATAAATGTTATTATCAATTTTTCTAGCTCCATAAAAAATATTGATGGTATTTTAATAGTGATTGGGCTAAATTTTTTTTATTTTTTATTAGGAAAAAAATTCAAAATATACAAAGGTAGAGAGTATAATATAATGAACCCCCCAATACCCATCATTATCCAGTTTCAACAGTTACCAAGTCATGCCCAACACTGTCTCATTTATACCCTGTCATTCTCTTCCAACTGGATAATAATCCATCATATCATTCCATCCATAAATATTTTAGTATGTATCTCTAAAACAAAAGGACTATTTTTAAAAAACACAACTCCACACAATGTTATCACAACACATTATCACACCTAAAACGAAATGAGTAATTCTTTAATACCTTCAAATATACTTCAAATACCCAGTCAGTGTTCATATTTCTGTGA